TTCTCCCAGTTATTTTTTTCGTCAGTGCAATGCAAAGAAGCCTCTAATGCGAACAGTCCACAAATCTCGGTCACCAAGAAACTTGCGAATTTCTTTTAGCGCCACGTTTTTCGCGGCGGAGGTCAGGCTGAACGCGCTTCGTCGTCGGAATCTTGCAAGGAGACAAGAAAAAGTTGTTAATAATACACTGAGAGAAATTATCTGATAAAAAAATTAACAAATATTTCCGAAATGTGGATGAATTTTCATATCCGATCCGATTCAATTTAATCAAATACTTCCGATCATAATGGCATTTCATCAGATAAATCGATCAAAAAATTATAAACCGATGTTTCTCATCGGATATTTCCTGATTGGATACAAAAATTCATTAGTATTTTGATCGGAGATATCCGTTTGTTAATTCTTCATCGAATAATTTCTCTCAGTGTAATAACAACAACATAATATTTATTTTATTGATAGCCATTAATGTTACCAAGTAGATACCTGGCAAATTTCGATGTATTGGGTTGATCTTAAGTTCGTGCAGATTTTTGTCTAGTTGATATTCGCATGTTGGTATTAGAAGAATAGCTTTTGTTAGATATCAGGAGAATAGTTATTGCATCTCGTGCAATAATATGAGACAAATAAAACATGAAAATTTTAGAACCGTATTAGATTCGCAGGAGAATGAACCTAAATTCTTTGGGAAAGAAATTAGTATTTTCAAGGGCACTAAAAATAAAAAAAGAAAGAGAGAAGAAAAATATGACTTTGTGATTTTGAAATACTGCCATTTCGTTAAATTTTAATTTTCTGCATATCACAAAGGCTTATCCTCCGACATAGTATAGTTTTTAGATTTCTTGGTCAAACAAAATTTGTTTCGGATTATTAGACGAGCTGTGAAATTATCCATCAGTTAGAGGCGTCCGGCAATAGCACGCTCTACACAAGATACTTTCACGGAATTTCGATTCTCTTGAAGCAATTGTTTATACTTGAAACAATGACAAATAGTATATGGTAAAAATCCTATATTGATATCTTTGTTCATTTCTTTGAACAAAAGTTGTAAGAGTCTTCTGTTCTTTCGGCTGTCTAAACTCAAACTTCTGTTTTACGCAAATTTATATGCTCAGTTACGTATAATGTAACGCGGCAACGTGATGAGTAGAGAATAGGGAGAAGGCAGATCAAATTTCATGCGGAAGTTGGTTAAAATATTTAGCCGCTCAATGGCGGAGAATGTAACTTTAAATTTAGAAGCTTGATATCGAGGAAAGGTCAATCGATTCCAGAGACGGATGTTGCGCGAATCCTTGCCGTGATAGAGACAGAATTACAATGTAGGAAACTGAGAAAAACAAGCAGGTGTACGATTATGGAGAATAAAATAGGTGAGCCACGACATATGGCATACAAAACGTTGAAATATGTCGCTATTCTGAATTCTTCCGACTGGAAGACCCGCCCGACGAGGTCTCGTGCTGCCGGGCGGAATTACGTGCTATTAAGTTCCCTATTAAATATTAAAGTCCAGTCTGGGTTGAGTGGCGATCGACGATGCGGTTGCATGACCGGTATATCATTGATTATCAGCGCACTTTTTTCATCGTGGACGGCGACGGGATGAATCGATGCAGATTCAGAAGATAAATCTCTTAAATAGGGGAAAAAGAAAGGAGCGGCATTCAGCCGACGGGCTGCGCTCCGCTATATTTATACGCACGTGCGTTCGTGTAATGATAGATTAATACTCGTCGTTTCTGCATGTTCTACATGATTGATCGATCGAGGCTTTTATTCTCCCGAGGAGGGAAATAAGTGCAGATAACTGATTATTTCGTAGCCGAGTAACAAACGCTACAAAACGTTTTAATCGGCCTGAAGTGCCGTTATATACGCATGACGTATTATTCCACGGACGATACGCAGCGTTATTACGGCGGAGAGTTCGTTAGCAGCGACAGTACGATATTAGAGTCTGCTAATAATAGTCAATTCATGAGCGCATGATTAATCGTGTTCTTGTGTGTGCGATTTTTGCAGAAAAATTCTCCTGTCTTTTCGCTTATATATGGTGTCCCAGAAGCTCTCGTGAAGGCATAGATTGAGATGAACATAAAAATCTGATGCTGTTTTGTGAAATTCGCGATAATTATCGAGATATTAATTAAAGAAAATTTGTGAATGATTACGCGAGATGTAAATAGATAACGTCTGCCATCTTATGCTAGTCAAACTGAACGAAAAAGTCCTCTACCATTTTCCTAATAACCTTGTGGATTTTTAATAATTAATTAAAGAAGATTAGCGAATAAACGCTCGCGATAATATATTAATGTTGTCAAGTTAATAACCATACAGAGAGAACGATTTGGTTGAATCAAATAAACACTTCTTTGGAATGGTTCAAACAAATTTTTTGATTGATTGAACAAAGTTTTGTTTGATGTAACAAAAATATTTAGTTACAGCTTAGTTCCAACGAAATATTTTTGTTGTTTCAACCAAAAAATTTCTTTGGACCATTCAAACGAAGCATTTATTTGATTCAACAAATCGTTCTCTCTGTGTAGGTTATGTTATCTAATTAACAGTAACTAGTAAACTAGTTGTGTTTTCGAAAAAAGTATAACAAATGGCAATTTCGGGGACTCTAATCGAGGATCACCGCTTTTGTTTTGTATATCGAAGCGAGTGGAGGAGTAAATTAGGATGAAAAAGGATTGACCAGGGTCAGTGGGGTTTGGTGAGCGTCCGCCGAAATAACGCGAGCGAGATTTTCGCAGCTACCTTTCACTCCTCGTTGCACGGAGGTGTACGACCTCTTGGCGTATGACTTCTCGAATCGCCGGGTTCTCCTGGAAACACGTGGTGAACTGGACCACGAGGACGCGTCGGTACCGTTAAGAACGGAGCCGGCAAAAAGCGAGCCATGACCAAACCTGGCGTGCACGCTCGACGTTCGCTGTTCGTTACGAATTTCTTGCTGAATTCACGCGAGCCGCGTGATCGCCATTGTTTCACGCATACAAAGTGTTCCTTAAGTTCGGAGACATTTTTCTTATGCAGGGAATATTTTCTTCGGGAAAGTCATAAACAATGCTCTTTTTCTGCCCGTAGACGCTGATAATTAACACTAGAATTATATAGAGAGAATTTTGTAGTGAAGGTTGTAATTTTACAAACGAGAAATAGAAATAAAAATATCTGGAGATAACATTTTGGATATATCCACTTAGACTTTATAGACCTGGTAGACTTTGTAGGCTTGACTTAGCATTTCCTCGAGTCGTTAGACGTATTTTGAGATTCTTTACTTTTTCAAAACAACCTGCGACCTCGCAGTTATTGATCCCGTAGCTCAGTTATTCATCATTTTCCGCCTCTACATGTTTCATTATGCGTTATTATCGGCGCGTGTACAGGATAAAGTGCTTTACCGGTTTTCGATAAAAAACGAAGAAATCGCTTTTAACGCTGATAACGACGAACGCCAATAAAATACGTAACGCAACGACGCGGACGTTGTAATCGGCGTTGACCCTTGAACCTGAGAAGCGGTGTGTGTCGAATATAACGAGAGTGTACTCGTGAACGAGAGGCATTTTGCAACGGCACAGTTGTGAAACGCGAAAAGAGAGAAAAAGAGACAGACAGAGAGACAGAGAGAGAGAGAGAGAGAGAGAGAGAGAGAGAGAGATGCAGGCCTCCGTAAAATCGGGGAAAACAGGTGCGTGTTGTAAAGACAATTTTGCCGTCGTGTAATGTACGCCACGACGAGGCCCACGGAAAGTCAAGAATTAGAAATCTCACGTCCGGAAAGTGAGTCATTGCGTGGTAAACGGACAGAGGTGACGGCGGGAAAAATGCGAGGCGAATTTCACGCGATAGGAGAACGAGGAGGAAAGTGTGACCGCCGCCGCCACGAGAAAATCCAGACGAATGATTTAACAGGCAGATCGGCGCGAGAGCTCCGCGAATCGAAATTACCGCGAACGGAGATACGTGCCGCGGCCGGGAACGCAAATACGCACCGTTCTTCGCGAAACACGCCACGCCGTAAACCGCTTTCCGCGGCTCGAGCCGCTCGCGCAATACAAAATTACATATGCCGTTTGAGTAAGAGAAAAAGAGAGGGAGAGGGGAGAGAGAGAAAGAGAGACGAACGACGAGGAGTCGATGAAGACTAAACTGCTCGCAGACGTCAGATTCAGGACGTCTCGATTAACGTCGGAGCGGATTTGTTGTTCATTCGCGTCGATCGATTTCTTTATATTTCTGATTATACACATCACTGATTATACGGAGTGTCTGACAATTACTGGCACACCCGTTGTGTGCAGGTAGAACTCGTCAAGCTGAACACAAAGTTACTCTACCATTTCGCAAATTATCATGTTTGAATTATTAATTGGAGAAGATTGGCGAATGATCACGCGCGAAAGGCACCGTTCTTGATTGATGACGTCAGAGAAGCGAGGAAATGCTCGCTCAAAATTCCTGTACGTCGAAATAAAAAGATATATCCAAAAAATTACGTAATCGGTTGAGTACACCTCTAAAGTACTCGAAAATAAAAATACTCATCTTTCGCGTTCTGACAATCAATAAATAACTGTAAAGTTAACCGTGCAATCATCCTCTTTAACCTACATTTCTTCATTATTTTGTCACGTTGATTTCATAATTAATTATCGATTGCAAAAGAAAAGCGTTCTGAGTATTTCAGAGGTGTGCTTAATTGATTAAAAGTGTTATTTCCTGAATATACCTTCTTATTTTGACATACTTTATAGAAATTTTGAGCAGGCATTTCCTCGCTTCTGACGCCATAAATCAAGATGGCGAGCAGCCCAGAAGCCTCGATACGTGTTTGCCCGACGAGCGTTTATTGATTCGATCGATCTGACACGCCTCGATTGTCTGCTCCCTGCTAAGTTGCACTTTGTCAAAATGCATGTTCGTTACAGAAGCTCATTCGTGTGTTTTGGTGTGTGTTGCAGATGCCATCGAGAGCGCGGTGCTGCTGAGGCCACGTCTGAGCAAACGAGTCGTAAGTCTCCGATTAAAACGCTACATCGGTTGCGCGACGCGCCCGGGGAGAGGTGGCGGCGGCGGCGGATATAATTCGCCCTGATACGTCATCGTGAATCGCGAAATTAAATTTAATTGCCGCGACGCTACTAGCAGGAATAATATATGGGCGTGCGAGACGTTACCCCGCGCGGCTGCGTCGGCATTTAGTGTGCCGACTTGTGTGCCGCTTGTTTAGCTCCTATATTTAAATCTACACTGTTAGCGTTCGCAAAATACGAACACGCTGTCGTGCTTTTAAATACCGCTCGTCGGAGTGGAACCCCCGCGGCATGTAAATTCATGTAAGACGTCATTATTTCTTTCCTTTTTGTACGAATGCATAAGTTATTTCTTTTCTAAGAACTCAAAGTTATTCTGCTTGAAAGAGGAAAAGAAATAAAAGATGTGAATCCCAACCCCTTCCCCGCCCCCGGATAGACAGATGTACGTAAATTTGGCAAGAACTTTATTAGTCGATTTGTAAAGATTGCGTCCTTGGAACGACTTATATGTCATTCATATTTTTTATCACATAGAAGGACGAAATAGGAATATGAAAGAAATACGAAAAAGATACGATAGAAATTTGCTCCAAGCAATGTGTCGTGCAAAATGTTATGTGACTTCTAGTGTGTGTCACTTCTGTATAAAATGAACTTCATTTCCTCTCTCAACTAAATATCCAGGTATTCTTTTCTCAGTGTAGTAAATCTGTAAAGATCGCATGCCTTATGAATAATTCATATAGCACTTATATTTATCGCACAAAAGGAGGACAAAGTAGAAATACGGAAGAATGATTAAAATTTGCTCAAAACAATGCGTCCTGCAAAATGTAATGTGAAAACCCGAGTGTAACTTTTAGCAAATCTACAGCTGCATCAAAGTACAAATAAACTATTGCGTTATACACTGAGAGAATTTCATAATAAAAATTACTATACACTAAGAGAAATTGTCCGACAAAAAATTAACAAACGGATATTTCCGATCAAAATACCAATGAATTTTTATATCCCATCAGGATATTCAATTAAATTTTATCGGATACTTCCGATCATAATTTCATCAGATAAACCGATCAAAAAATTATGAACCGATATTTTTCATCGGATTATTTCAGACACAAAAATTCATTCAAATATTTTGATCAGAAATGATGCAAATCTAATGATTTATTCAGTGCAACATATTTGCTCCGTAAATGCAGTTGAAAAGACATTAAAATTCCCTTCATCGATTACCTCACGTCGTGATAATCATGAAAGTTCATCTGACTGGTCTTGTCACGCGTGATGGAACGCCCGTTTTTGCGCGAAAGTGCAGTTCGCGGAATTGCCGCGTACAGGAAGTATTCGCCCTTCGCAAATCGCCAGTTGCACGGACAAGTGTGGATATACCTCCACGCGAAGCGCAGAACAGCGGATCGTCCCCCGAGAGATCGCGGACCCACTGGCCATGACCTGCCGCCACCCACGCGGTCGCGCAAAACGATCCGAGCGTCTTACGTCGCGACCGTGCGCGCGTATTCGAGACCTACAGGGCATTGCGTGCGTCTGGAGATTAAGTTAGGGAACAGTTCGCGCCCGCCTGGCGCGAATTGTTGTCCCGTCCATCCCTCGTCCGAACGTAATCGCGCTGTCCCTTCTCAAGAATCGCACTGCGCAGAGTCTAAATGCGGTCAGTCAGGAGCGAATTGGTCATGTCTCTCGACGCAAATAGCGATCTGCCCTCACCCTCCGTTCGTCCAAATTCAGCTGGGATCTCCAGCGAGGTATCGAGCGGAGAGCGGAAAATTCTATCCATCGCCGAGCGGACTTTCATCGTGGAACTGCCTTCCATCAATCGCGCGATACCGAGCGAGGAGCAGTGCGATTACGCCGCCGCGAGCAATCGGCATGTCGGTATTTTTATTAAGTTCCCCCCAATCAATGCTGTCCATTATTTAAGCTATCTCACTACGTCAGGCGAGAGAGACTCCGTCGATCCCACGGGAGAGGAGTTATTAACGCGCCAGAGGAACGCGCCGTCCCCCGATATTGCGTCGGTGTTGCCTATCGATTAACGCGATTGCGATCGATCGATCGGTCGTGCGAGAGTTCAACGCTCGTCGCACGATCATCGGCGTGTTCTTTTATTCGCCGTTTATACGCGACGATGACGTCACGTTATGCCGCGGACACCGCCAACAGTATGCAAAATAATGCAAATAGCATGCCGAAACTTCTCGCCCTCCGTCCTTCCGTCTATGTATAGAACGCCCGTGATGTCGGTTTAGCGCTCGAAAGAGGCCTTTGGAGTGACGAGAAAGAGGTTGTCTCTCTAGTGCTGGTAGATTTTCCTCATTTAGACGGACGGAACGCTCTTGTCGCTTCGTGAATTGCTAGGAAATGGTATATCGTCATATTGTGCTGGTGTATACCTTGATTACTTTGATTGGCATCTCGTATTTCGTTTTGCAAATGATTAGCTCGCATTCGTTGATCGAATTCTTTGGATCAACAACATCTTCACATCAGCAGCACATGTTTAATTGAAGACTATAAAAGCAAATGTTGTCTCTTGAAAAACACTTTATATAGTTTTATTTAGCACTTTAAATGCAGAATTCATTATGTTTTTTATATATAAAAAATTGAACGCTACATTGGAACGAAACAATGTTATGTCGCAGTTAATCGTGGAATGGCAAAATAAACCGGCCATATCGAAAATTCGGCAAATTTGCTTAATTAGAAACTAATTGACAAGTTCTGTCTGTCTCTTTGAAAATACTAGAATACACTTTATATGGATTTTATTCAGAATGTATTATATCTTTTCCTGTATAAAAGATTGAACGATATATCTTGTAGATAAAATCGTATCACGTCGCGGCCAATCGAGCGGAAAAATTAACGTGCCGTGTCGGAAACTTAGCAACATGCGTTTAATTAAAAACTGTCTACTATGAAGATAAATTTTGTCTCGCTGAGAACCTCAAGAAACACACCTAATACGGGTCAGAATTGATTTTAGTTTCTCTTTTTCTGTACGAAAGATCGAACGCTGTATCTTGGAGGTGAAGCGATTTTACGACGCTCCGACGGATCGTGGAATGGAAAAATAAACGTACCGTATCGAGGAAAGAGAAAAACAGCTTCACGTGTAATACACGACGCGCGCGATGCGTGTCCCAAACGATTCGTTGCCCCGCCGAGCGATGTACGAGTTATTATAGCGGCTAATCGAAACATTAAGCCCGTAATGGCCGTCGTATCTTTGCACGGCTTAACCTTTCCTCCATCGTACTCCATCGTACCGCGCCTCTTATCCGCGGCCCCACTTTGACGATTGCCGGGGCAATGATAACAATAGTCGCTGATAGGAGTCGCCTAGATGGCCGGTCTAGTGAATCAGCGCATTGTCGTCGCGCGACCCAGCGCGGATCTAATTGGGCATCGAACGGCCCTCGGCTGCATGATCGGCTCGGATGTTTTGCAGGTGCTGGGCCGGTTGTAATTACTGTCGGAGCTGGGCGTGCGTGCTAATTGCGGCATTAGATAATCAGCCGCGGCCAGCCGGCGGGACGTGTTACTTTCATTCCCGCGGCCGCTCGGGCCGCGGACCGTGAAAATTACAATCTTTTACGTGCGCGATTACAGGCCTATTACAAAGTGCGGCGTAACAGTAACAATAAATAACAGCTGCCGGTCGTTGCGAAACTTTACGCCGGAAATGGCCGGGCGATGAGTGATATATCGCGTATCGCCGGCTTGCTCTCTCACTCCTGATCGCTGATAACATCTCTCGACGTTAGATACACCTTATTTCCCGATTAGATATACTTTCCGATTACCGCTTACTTCGGTGTCTCCTGGCGCGAGAGAACCACGCGCGTGCACCCAATTGAACTCTTAAAAGTCCACTTCTACCACTTCGTCGTGGTGACCTCCTTTCGGTCGGCCATCTCCGTACGTAGTGTTCATCTCAATTTCACGGCGCGCTGTTAATATTCGGAAATACTAATAACCACGTGTGCCGGTGGATTGCAGGCAATTTCGTTTTGTTGCCGCGTGTATCGTCGAAGCGACGAATTGCGTAATCGCGTCTCTTCGTCTTCGAAGAGCACATTTTCGCCGTCTCGATCCCCATCATGAATATTCATCGCGTGACATAAAACCGCGCCTTTCAGAGGAATCGACGTGAATCGGCGAACACGAGCGGCGGACACGCGATCAACAGGCGTACGCGTGTTGCATTATCGCCGAGCGTATCCACACACACACACACACACATACACATACACATGTGATTTCTCTCTGTCTCTGTTGCAGGTAAAACAGATTGAAAGATGCGCGCAGCACCGCCCTTGCTGTCGTTCCTCCTGATCCTCTTGTATCACGCAGGATGGAGCTATGGGCTCTGCAAGCTGGAGAACAGCACGGCAGCGGTATGCCACAAGCTGGAGGACATCAAGCACATCGACACGCACGACCTGGAGTTCCTGAAGGCCTCCGTCGCGCAAGATGTCTTAACGCCGGGCTCCTTCAGCGACTTGGGCAATCTCAGGCACTTGGACCTGTCCGGAGGCGATCTGAGAAAGATCGATCGGGAATTTTTCAAAAATCTGAGTGACCTGAGAAGCCTCAACCTCGGCGACAATCGCATCGAGTACCTGGAACTCGTGTCCTTGGAGGACTTGACTCAACTCCGCAGTCTGAACCTGCGAAGAAACGCTATCCGGCAATTGCCACCTGCGCTGGCGCGCCTCAAGAACCTGAGGCACCTGGACATCCACGGCAATCCACTGGAGTGCAATTGCGCCACCCTCAAGGTGCGCGATCTTATCGCGCAGAGAGGCGTGACTATGTCGAAGAAGGTTATGTGCGCGGGTCCTAACAACATGAAGGGTACGTCGTTGATGAAGCCGAACGCGGCGATCGTCTGCAGCCTGGAGAAGCAGGATCGGGAGATGCAGAACGATCAGGCGGACGGATCCGGGATGGATTCAGGATCTGGGGATACGTCGGACGCGTGGGATGATGTCCTCAGCAAAGAGGACGAAGCGGAGGAGGCGGGGCAGAAGGGAGAGGAAGCAGAGGTGGAGGAGAAGGAGGAAGAAGAGGACGACGAATATGTAGAAGTTCACAACGGCTCGTCAGAGAAACCAAAAGAGGCGGAAATGGAGACGCCCTTCGAGGCCGTGTCTCCAGACTTCACGACGAGATCTCCTGCGGTTGAATCTATTACCTTCTCAAAAGAGTCAATCGAGACCTCGGAGGTGAGCACAACAACGAGCTCTTTGCTGCCAACCACGGAGGACGATGAAATTTTCTTCGACAGCGAAGAAAAGAGGGAGCAATCGACTACGACCGAGATGTCGCATAAGAAGGAGGTCATCAAGGACTCTCTGTTTTATCCGGCCTCTGGCGATAGCTACGACGCTTCCGGCGAAGGATCCGGAGCCGGCTACGATGAAGAGACGACTAATGTAGAAGATGATAGCAATGACAACTCGTTCCTTTGGAACGTCGTCACTGGTATCGCTGGTTTTCTGGGCGCCACCGCGACTCCGCAGGAGCCGAAGGACTCAGATCTCGAGGAGGAGCAGTTTATAATGTCCACTAGGCCTACCATAGAGGAGACGACCGTGCCGATTACGTTCCACACATTCAGTGGCGAAGTCGAGACGAGAACAGTTGCAACATCGATCGCCAATGGTGTTGAGGTGATGAAACCCGCAGACGACGGCTCTAAGTCCGGTAATGTCAAGGCCGAAGTGGACAGCCTGAACGACGAACTGGCCGAGGTGTCCACCTCCAAGCAGTCCAAGAAAGGAATGGGTTCATACGTTGTTCTGGCGATTCTGCTCGCCGTTTTAGCGGCGCTGATCGGCTTCGCCGCGTACAAGGGCGACTTCTGCCGCAAGAAGAGAAAACCAAACGACGTGGAGAACGGCACGGAGCTGAAAGACATGCAGAAATCCCTCCTGCCGGACACCGGCAACTCGATCCAACCGAAAATCGCCTCGAACGGGAACGCTGAGAACGTTCCTCTCGTGGATGGCGCTCCTGACGAGGACGCGAAGCTCGACAAGATTCGCAACGATGATCACCACACCCAAGAGGCACCGCGATCTCTCAACGGCACCGTCGACCACCCGGACCCCGTGAAGCCGCCCAGGAAGCAGATTACTCCCCAGGATAACCAGATAGTGGAGGATAGACCTCGTGTGGATGTGAATTCCTTGAAGGAGAACTTCCTGGCGGATCGGCCGAGCCCCGTGCAGCCCTCCCCGTCATCAGCAACGATGAACAATGGGCCGGCGACGCATGTCTCAGAGCCCAACGGACCCCCGCTAAGTCCCGGAGCGCAGAGAGTGAGGATCACCCTACAGGAGATCCCCGACAGTGTGCCAAAGACGCCCATACTCATTACGCGAACGATGGCCGGTGAGAATCTAGTCAAAACGTCGTGAAGCAGTGCCCTGAACAGAGAAAGAAAGAGAGAGAGAGAAAGAGAGTCTACATGAGATAACGTGATGTCACATCGATGGACTGACGTGTTCGTGTGCCGAGAGACGAGAGAGAGAGAGAGAGAGAGAGAGAGAGAGAGAGAGAGAGAGAGGGGAAAAAGAGAGACAAGCAAATAGAACGTAGTGCGAGAACCAAGGGGACAGTTTTTGACAAACCATATACCCCGGACGTGATTTATAATACGCCGTTGTTCCTAGGCCCGATATGTAGACAGCCTCCTTCTAACGATGGACTTTTGTAATAAGAGAGATTACTGGATTGGTGGCCACGCGCCGCCGAAAGCGGCGAAAGGGACAACTGTCGTGTTCTCGGCAGGATGAAGGTGTGCGACAGGCGGCTCATACGGGTGTAACTTCGAGCAGCTTCGTTGAACAATCGGACGCACGAAATGCTACATATGCATATTTGACGAGAATCTTACGTCTCACGCATAGACTGTCCCACATGTCGCGTTATCGCTTCTTGTACGATTATCTTGTCTAAATATTTTTTAATGCTTGATATTAATCTTCTTAGCGCGACCTATATTCAAATTAAAGTCTTGCTCGAGTAAGCATTTTACTAAGTTGATAATAAGGTTACACGAGATTCCCTACTTACTCAATCGTGATTTCTTCTGAATTTCCCTGAAGAACAACCATCAATACTACGTTATCGTGCTTGGGAGGTTAAAGCTTGCCGATGCTTGAACATATATTTAACTCTGAATATTTTTATTGTTTTCCTTTGTTAAATACGAATATTTGAACCTTCAACATAGGGACATAATGCCTACAAAAGTTTTATGATTTCGAAAGAGATCTAACACAGTGATAATGATTCTTTTGTAAGTAGGAATATGTAGGAGATCTTAATTTTTTTTTTAATAGAATCATATTTAATAGTTTTTCTAATACATATTAATTCCTCTAGTCATCCTATATAAAATCGATTATTCAATATAAAAATATTGAGATGAAATAATTTAAAAATTATATATATTCTATGTTGAAAGATAAAATATTTGTAAAAAACAAAACAATAAGAATGCTCATGCGAAAAAACAAATTAGTGTAACTGAATTTTCCCTTTCTTGGGAAGAGCAGAGGTGACACAGAAAACTCGGTTGTAGAGTAAAAAATATTTCTAATGCAGGGGATTTTTATTCAAAATCAATTGTCCTCAGTTGCCTCAATCAAGTTTCAAAGCACCTGAATGTTCAGACAAATATTTTCGCTCGCTGTAACAGACATTTCTTTTTGCTGAATTTTTGTTTGGTCTTCAATTACACGAAGTGAGAATTACATTCCGTGTAGTCTACTGTTGCCACGTCATTCTTTTCGATTCAGCTGATAAAAATCGCGATGTCTGGGACACTCTCTGTATTTATGTCATACGTAAGGATCCGCAGATGGAGTGACACAGTTCAAAGAGTTCACACTAGTGCACTAGTCAGTCTTCCTAAAGGATCTCGCGTGTCCCGCGTGCGCGTGCGCGAAAGGACCCGGAAGAACCCGCGTTAATCGTCGTCGCGCGAGATCGCATCGCGAGGATCGGCCACGTTCGCGAGCAACGTCAAGTGTCAGTGAGTCGAGGGAGCATTCCGCATTTCTGCCATATTTTTCTACGAAGCTTCGATTGAACTCCGTCAGCGTGAGGACGACTGTGCCCCGATCTTCTCCGATCGAGCCGCGCGGATTGTTTGCCAGCGCGACAAACGCGCGCGTACCTCGTAGTTTTAGCGCCGCATTTTAAGTACGCGCGTCCACGCGATTAAACGTGAGGAAATTTGCAATTCCAACGAGCACGACGAGCCTGCCAATTATGAATAATGGCCTCTGGCCCGTGGTGCGGAGTTGCGGAGTACGGAGTGCGCGGTGAACGGTTTGATTCAGCAGTTTGAACGTTACACACAGGAGTCTCCGTTATTTACGTCACAGAGAACGCAATATGTAATAATCTGTTATCGTGTCATTTTTCTGTTAGCGAATGCGTGATCCCCTCGCCCCTGAGACAGTTTCCTAGCGCGGAAGTGTCGCGGGGGGAAGAGAGCGACTCGAATTTTTACACGGATCGACACATTTATTCGTTGTGACGAAATTCCATGCAACGTAGATTAATGTGAAGATTTACGCACGAGATACGTACGATGGACATACTTCGTAGACGTTGATCGCCTGTTTAAATGGACACGCATATACAGAGATGTGCATACGGAGCGAGAAGGCGCCACGTAATGCGTTATCGCGCCGTCGTAATCGATTACATATTTCACGTACGATTCTTTAAGCCAAATGTGTCGGATGTGTACGGCGTATATGATTTAACTTTAAGATATAGCGCGGGGTCCCCGTTAGATCGACCTGTTTCCAACAACAATAAAGCGCGTCGCCAGTTTGCATTAAGGAGAAACGCGACAAAATCAACGGCTCAGTGAAGATTGAAAGACTTTATTTATATGTTCAGTCTTTGATCAATAAAAGAGAGTGTTATTTTTTGTTGATATCGTCGCTTGTGTTAATCATGATCACGCACGATCTTCGACCCCCATACGCATCGATAGTGGACGCGTCTACATCATTATTACGATGCGTTCTGCAGCGGTAATTATCCAATGATTAGCGTTCGAAAGGGAGCGGATAAATCGCGATATAATCGTCGATATTCGCGAAAGATCGCAGGAACAAGTAATGAACAAATATATACGCTTCATGTTAACGTTGCATGTATAAAACTTTAGTTCCGTGCGAGTTTCAATTGTGCAAGCAACTTAAGGGGTCGCAGGAACCTGGTAGGAGCAAAAATTAGACAAAATTTGGGAAGTTGTAAAAAGTTGTAAATTAATAGGAATTAACACAAACAGATTCATAAACCTAAACTCTCTTACGTTTCCTTCGCAATTGTTGTCAGCAATGCTATTAGTGAGGCCATACACTTTAACATCAACGTCAAAGCGTAAACTGTAATGAATTGCTAATAAGTGTTCAATGTTATCACTGAATGTTGCTCAATATTCAATAACTTAATTACTTATAATCTGTGCGTTACATATGCCGCCTTTCACTCTCTCTTATTCCTGTAAATGATAGGCCGTGACGATGGACGATGAGGACGTGACTATAATTTCGAGGTCTGCGTTTTAATTCTCTTTAGGTTGACAAGAAATCACCGTAATTTGAGATCGGCGCAACCTCGCAGTATTCGAACCGGTAATTTGACGTTATTACAGTTAGGATCTCGGACGGTGGAGACGGCGCTTCCATGAAGAAGCGCTCGTATCTGTGCTTGCTCTTTCAGAGCTGATCTTGTACTATCGGCGGCTGTTTCATTTGTTATTTGCCCGATCATTAACCCTCTACCGGCCGATAATAAATGGATATATACTACGTAGCATAGAAAAAAACCGGTTTACGCGGGAGAAGCAAGTGAGCCGCGCTGGAATGTTATCGCGCAGCCACGCGTACGTTATTACCGATCCACATTCGTAGCATTGTTGATTCAGCGTCAGGTGTGATCGATGTGGTTCACCAAAACGACTCTCGCGTCGAGAAAGTGAAATAACTCTTAATCACAGAGTTATGTGGCTCGCGCGAGATACGCGGAATGTGGACGCAGGCCGCGCAGTTGACAAGTGCAATGAAAGTGCTGAAGAAATTTGCGGCCTTCTCTGGCTACTTCAGCTTTATTAAAAATATCATGACTATTTATCGCGAATATCAGAGAATATTCACGCTCAAGGCAGCGATCATGTAACTTCGAGCGGGCTTTCCTATTTTTCACTTTTCGCACATCCTGAATACGCGTAAACTTTTTAAGCGTGAACGAATCGCTGAGTATTACACAGCTAGATACGTGGAGAGTTATTAAGGCTCCTGGCTACTCGCAAAACTCTTAATTAATGACATCAGAAGGAGAAATTACACGCTCAGAATCTTGCGAAGTATATAGAAGTGAAAAGATATATCCGTGAAATGGCATTTGCAATCGATCGAGCAGATTAAAATAGTCTTATCACTTTTCTTTTGTTCTATCGATTAATGAATTGCCGTAAAATTAAAGTAACGTGCAATTTATTCTTAGCATATTAGCTGAAGTAATAAAATACATAATATATAAGTAATAAAATATATAATATGACATGTGACCAACTTTTTTAACTTTCTTTCTTACGATTCTGCATAATAATTTTGCGATCATTTGTTGATTGTCAGGATAAGAAGAAAGCGTTTACACTATTTTACAAATCATATATATACATATATATGATAAGATATATGATAAGATATACATATATATATATATATATATATATATATATATATATATATATATATATAT